GAATGGAGTCCATAAAAACCTCCCAAGGAACAGACAGATGCATTCAGATTTTCTTCCTCTGGAACTAACCTAGCTGATTTGAAAGGAAGTGATTGCCTCATTGAGCCAAGACACTTCCATGATTCACACTAACCTTCCTCTGGTGGGCAATTTCGTTCTCGCTCTTACAGCCCCCAAGGAACTGCATGGGTGCACATTGGAGGATTTCCTGACCAAAGTTCATGTACGGTGTAATTTAAGTAAAAGCCGTGATTACATTCTGTGCTGTTCTGAGTTAAATGAACCTGATATGTGTAGAAGGGCAGAGGCGAGTACATGTGCTTTCCTCCCCCAGATCAGTAAAAAGCAGCGTGAGCAAAGCATTAGCTGAGGCCGATTCTAAACACCAAACAGCTAATTCTAGGAGTTGGAAACAAAAATAGACTATCTAGAGTACGGACAAGACCAGTGTATTGATTTATTAATTTATGTATCACACCCAGTTGCTTCAATGGAGAGCCATACTTTAATGTATACACATTTGCAAATGCGATTCTCAGGTTATTCATCTGAATATAACAAACAGTTAAATATCAGCCAAATTAAAATCTGTTGTATGTACATTGCTAAACGCCCTACTTTGAATTTCTCAGTGGGTCTATTAATTTTCCTGCGAGATGACTGTAGATATATCCAAAAGCATATTCTGAATGATTAGGGCGCTTTCAGAAATTTATCCTATTAGTAACCTACCTTCTGGTAATAGACACCTTATTCTGAAACCATCCCACTCTATTAAATCATGACACTATCCAATGAAACACGAGCGGAGGAGCGAATGTTAAGATGAAGTCTGCTGTTTCCAAATTTATAATAAGCTCCATGTATTTCATTGTCTTAAACTCTGCTTACTGTATTTAGGTTATTGATTTACCAGGGCAAGATATACCAATAAAAAGGAGGAATTGTTTTGATATTTAAGAGTAGGTTCTTATCTGACTCGTAGGCTGATTTATGTTATAGCAAGAAATTGGCAAAATTGTAATAAGTTACAAATAATAGATTATAAGTATTATAATTACTTATAAATAAATTATATATAATTATAAATTACATATAAATTATAAGTAATTATAATTACTATAAACATTATGGATTCCCTATCTCCAGAGTCTTGAGAGTATAGTGATTTAATCCCGAGTTTTCATTCTTAGGTTTGAAATAAAGGCCTATGTGAGAGATGTGTCCCCTACTCCTCTTGTGGGGGGCATAATCATCCTTATCTGGCTCTTATTTTTTCCCATATCTCTAATCACTATCAAAAAACTGTAAAGTATACATTTTCATTTGCTTTTTTTTTTTTAAGATTTGATTTATATATTTGATAGAGAACTAGCACAAGCAGGGGAAGCGGCAGAGGCAGAAGGAGAAGCAGACTCCCCGCTGAGAAGGGAGCTCCACAGGGGGACTGAATCCCAGGACCCTGGGATCATGACCTGAGCCGAAGGCAGATGCTTAACCAACTGAGCCACCCAGCGCCCATATACTCATTTGCTTTTATTCTTCCATTCCCAGAATGTAAGCTCTGTGAAGGGAAGGATTTTTGAGTGTTTTATTTTACTGACGTATTTATATAATAGGCACTCACTAAGTATTGGTCGAATGAATAGATATGAAACCTCACGCAGCATAAAGTGACACTGTACAACAACTTAATAATAATTGGAACAAAAACATGAGTTAGGGGCCCCTGGGTGGCTCAGTCAGTTAAGTATCCGACTCTTGATTTTGGCTCAGATCATGATCTCAGGGTTGTGAGATTGAGCCCCACCTCTGGCTCTGAACTCAGGACAGAGTCTGCTTGTCCTTCTCCCTCCCCTTCTGCTCCTCTGTCTCTCTCTCAAATAAGTAAATCAAATATTAAAAAACAAAAAAACATGAGTTAAACTCAATGCTGGGACTAGTGAGGAAGTTTCAAAAATTTACTTCAGATAGCAGTTTCTCCAGAGAGACTTCTCTGAAGTGCCCAGTATGGGCTGGATGCTCCTGCTATGTGCCCAAACAGATCTCCATCCTTTACCACAATATGAAATCTTACCAGACTGACCATGTTTCCCTTCCTTGTTCTCGGAGCTCACTGTGCTCTGAAGACAGGGACACAGGGTTTTGTTTGTTCGTTCTTAGAATCTTGGTTCCTAGAAAGCACTCAGTTACAAAAGCAAAGGGAAGGGGGTCTTGAAGAAAAAGATAGAGGGGATGGGGAATAGAAAGGAAGAGATGAATAAAGGATGGAAAAAAGTTGCTCATTTAATCAAGATAGAACATCTGGACAAGGGAAGAATTTGGGTATTGCCGTAGGGTTCCCAAGAGAGGTTTATTTAACAAATGAATTTGGATTTATGAGTACCTCTGTGTGCCAGGTATGTTTCTAGCCACTGAAGGGGTTGCAGTGAACAAAGAGCTGATGTCATTGTCCTCATGGAGCACTTTTAGGTTAGTTTAAAAAAAAAATTTTGTTTTAGTTTTAAATTTTTTTGGTGGGGGGGAGACAGACAATAAACAAGTGTAATATTGTATATGTAAAACAATGCACAACATAATGTGAAATATAGTGGAAAATGTATAAATTGTAAAAATAAATGGATTATATAAAATAAATGAATTATATAAAATATATGAATTATATAATATATGTAAATATAATATATAATATATGATATTATATGATATGATATAATGTAGAATTTGGGGATGCTTTTTTTTTTTTTTAAAGATTTTATTTATTCATTTGAGAGAGAATGAGATAGAGAGAGCATGAGATGGGGGAGGGACAGAGGGAGAAGCAGACTCCCTGCCGAGCAGGGAGCCCGATGCAGGACTCGATCCTGGGACTCCAGGATCATGACCTGAGCCGAAGGCAGTCACTTAACCAACTGAGCCACCCAGGCGCCCGAATTTGGGGATGCTTAAAGGGAATCCGTGAATTGCCTTTGTAAAGATTCCTCATAAGCCCTTACCTGTAAAATACTATTTGCCGTATTCCAGAATGCGAAGCACAACAGAAATCACTCCAGGAGTGGCATTTATAACTAACTTGTGTGCCTCAACCTAGCCTGAATGTGGGAGGAACGATTTGCCTAGATGTTGAAACCATGCGTAGACCTTCGAGGGGCCCATCTCCCAGTTGCGTGCAGAAGCACCCTGCCCCGAGGGGAGACTTGGGGATCTGGAGGCTTCCTGCGCGCAGGCTTCCTTCTTGCGCCCCTGGGCGGGACCCTCCTTTTTGAACTGACAGCAGGGATGAAAAGGGTTTGAGAACTTACAGACCAGATAAACTTCTCCAGACTTTTGGTTAAAAACGACTGCACTCCGTTTCTTTCTTCAAGGTCTTGATTAAGTTGGTATTATTTACAAAGTCGTTTCAGTAGACAAAGAATCGAGTCTTGTACCGGAACGGAGGTGTTTGCAGGATCTGGGTCCCCACGGTAGACTGCTGCGGGTACGTGATAATAATAAGAAATACACTGCCACTTTTGCTTTAATACAGGCGAATTTTGCTAGCATATGGAAGAGTGTGCTTTGGGTACCACAGTGCTTTGTGGTAGAGGGGAAAAAAACCCAAAACCAATTACATGAATGAGGTAGAATGACTGTGTTATTGCAGTACATAAGACTTTGATTACATACTGCCAAGATTCATACCAGCCTAGTAGTTGTTGACAGATAAAGTAACAAAAATGAAACTCATTTATTTTTTTCTTTATTGAGACCTCAAGGAAAAGCAGATTTTCAGTTCTTGTACTTACTACGTTGATAGAACAGAGACGGACAGCGAAAATGTGCCAGTCCAGAAATATAAATTAAACCTCGGTTCATATCAAAATTCCATTTAGTCTTGGAAAAGGAGCTGCTGTTTGGATTATTTTTGATCCTAAATCAAATATACAATGGAGGATCACAGTATACCTGGTATTTGTTAACCCTTTCCTGTGAACAATACTTGGAACCTTATTGTTGTTTTTGGTCGACGATGCTTTATTTCTTTCGCAGTGTTTGAGGCAACTTGAATTATCGTCAGGGTAGGTTATCTTTTACTGAATGCAAATTGCTAGCAACAGACATATACATTTCAGTCTGCAGGAAGTATGAAACTAGGTTTGGAAAATTGATAACAGACTCTTTTCTCTATTACAAAGTCCTATTCGATGCTACAGTTTGATTATTGAGACAAGGACAAAAGTAAGTGAGAAATATAAAGTGAGGATTTTTGGATTGTTTGTTGAGATTGTTGATGTGTATTGAACAAAACTTCTGCCTAGATCATTTGTACCTTCCCTTCATGTAACTTAAGTTGACAGAGCAAAAAGGACCTTTTACTTTCTTTTCTTTTTCTCTCTTTATCTCCTGCCCTCCTTTACCCTCCCTCCCCTCCTTCCTTCCTTCCTTCCTTCCTTCCTTCCTTCCTTCCTTCCTTCCTTCCTTCTTTCTTCTTCCCTCCTTCCCTCTCTTCTTTCTCTCTCTTTCTCTTCACTTTTTCTTTTTATTCAACTGTTGACATGGAAATTTTGCTACAGTTTCTCATAACTAAGACACTACGAAATCGATGACAGAATTCTGGAAACAACAACACGGTAGACTTGGGGAATGGATATACAAGTGGGTAAACAGAACAATCAGTGAACCCTAAACATCATTATAATCCAACAATGTCCGTTTCTTTGAGTATATCCTAAACATAATTTTGCTTAAATTTTTTTTATTATTATTCTAAAGTCTACATTTGATCATATTCTCATTAATTTTTTAGCAACCGAAAGCATGAACTCGTTTCTTGAATTACCTTTTCTGACCTTTTGCAAGACGATAATTACAAAAAAGGGAGGCCTGGAAGAACTTGTACAAAAATTAAGCTTATAAAGTAGCTAAAATGGCCCTTCTGTGCTGGTGTCGATTTCAAAATTAACATTTTGGTTCATGTGCTTCTAATAATCACTGACCCTTACTTCATGTACTTTCCACAGGAAATGAATATAGCAGAAATTACTTTGACCCACTGATGGATGAGGAAATCAACCCAAGGCAGTGTGGGATGGAGGTCAGCAGAGAGGGTGAGCTAGAATTAAGTATGTAATTTTTGTGTCAGAATATTCTTTTCCATTCATGAAAATGAGGTGACAAAGATCACACATGCAGTTCCGTTTAGATTTTGCGGCTTACAATTTAAATGGTAAGTTTTAACCACTAACAACATGATGGGCAGCGAAGGTAGCTTTTGATCAAGGACAGCCAGCTGGTCAGAGAGAAGAGGCAGGGATTTGCTTTCGTTTGACACAGCCACCAGAAGCAGTTTGGTGTCATTATAAGGCCCGTGTTATGCGTATGAGGAGCATCATCACTTTACAAATTCCATCTCTGCTCTTTGAGTTTAAAATGAGCATTCTTCGATGAGTTGCAAAATTCATCTAGCGTAAGAAGATTCTGTGCATGGTGACTACTGATTCCTTTCATTGGAGGCGGGACACCGCTGCCTGGGTTCTGAACCACAAAGGTGCATTGGTCTGATGATTTCTTCTTCTATAACCTTGAGTCTGTTGCAGTTGTAAAATAGCAATTCAGAAGATGACATTTCACACTGGGCACCAGTCACTGAATCTGAACTTTTTAGGGGAAGATGGGGTAAATCTTCACAGATAGAGGGGCTCAAGCGCAGTGCAAAAATTATTTTAAAAGACAGTTTTCAATAACTACACCTCTTTTTAGATGACACAGAATCCACGGATATCATCAAAAGACGTATGTACAAGATAGGGCAAGAACTTACTCTCAGGGCAGTTTTTACCAGTAACTCAAATCAAGGTGAATTGAAAACTGGAAAAATCTCAACCTTATATTTGCCCAACACACTTGGGGGATGAAAGATAATCCCAATGCGTTCTGGAGAGGAGTATCAGTTGGATTCTTCTTGAAATCTGTTTTAAATCCTTGGAGATCACAATATATAGCTGTGTTTGATGGAGTTTTTGTAATGTAAGGACTAAAGTTGGCTTAATAAGATGTTCAATGATATATGATGAGGAATGGCTGTAAGCACGGACAGGCAAGTGACCCAAAATATTGTGGGCCACTCTTCCCTAGTCAGCAGTGATCGCCCAATGCCTGGGGTTCACTTTGGGTCCCGTGTTTCAGAGCAGGCAGCTGTCTTTATATCCAGTTTTAAGCCTGCAATTAGTAATCATTTCTTTTTCTTTTTGCCGGGTATTCAAGCCTATTTCATCTAGGGGAATAGACAGTGCTAATGAACACAAGATTGCCTTCCACATCCTCTGTGGCACAGAGCTGAAGACCATGCAGGGACGTAACAGGGCTGGGAGGGGCCACCTGAGCAAAGGTGCAACGCACAGCATTTTGTGTGTTTGCCCCATCTATCTTCACCCTGGTTCAGCTTTGTTCTCATATTTATTTGTTTATAATTTGTTTTTTTTCTCAAATCAATACAGCTTTTATTGCATCTTTAAAATACCACAAATAAGTCTGAAAAATCATCCGACATCTTGCTGTTTCTGTAGCTGGGCAACTTAGATCTTATTCATCAGCCTGCCAGACTGGTCCTTTTTCCGAAGCATAGACACCATCTCCAAATTTTCTGTCATCCTTGTTTTTAACTGTGGTGGCTCACTGAATCAAAGCAGCTGAGTGTGATCCCATTTCAGTGTCCTTTCCTTCAAGAATTAACTCATCTTTCTTGAGTTACTGAACAAGCAACACCTAGTCTCATCCAAACCCTGGGGATGTATTTTTCACCCAAGAAATTTCAGATTTCAAGAAGAGAACCATTCTCCTGAATGACAACGTTGGTGGTGAAGTGAGCTTTCACAGGCCTCATCTTGTAATGGAAGCCCAGTGTCACGCCCTTGACCATGTTCTGTACATGACTACAGACAGTGTGGACAGTAGCCAGTTCTTTGCTGTTTTCCTATCACTTGTCAGCTCAGAGCCTCTTCTATTTCTTTCCAAGGAGTCTGAGTTCTACATTGATGTGCTTGGAGTCTCTTTTCAGGGTTCCTCTGGGGCCCTTCACAATAACAGTGTCCCTTCAGAGTGATGTCGACACTTTCGGAATGTCAACAGTCTGATCGCTGAGAATGGTCTCCATTCTCACAGTAGATGTGGCAAAGCTGTTTATAATTTGTACTCTACTTGCTTCCAAAATAGTTGGAGACAGCTTATAATAGAAATGTAAATGCATATGGTCAAAGCAAAGTTCAAATATAGATGAAAGAGGGATTTGAGAACGCCTATACAAAGAAGTAAATGTACGAGAAATCGAGGACAGTATTATAACTATAATTAATCACTTACTCTTACTTTGTGCTTCTTGGAAGTTAAATATAAAGGGATATCAGTTAGAAAACGTTCAATGTTAAACAGAATTTATGACTCTTTTTCAGTGTCGATAACCCACCATCACCACCACCATTTTATTTTATTTATTTATCTTTTAAATATTTATTTATTTGGGAGAGAGAGAGAGGGTGAGTGGGGGGGCAGAGGGAGAGGGAAAGAAAGAGTCTCAAGCAGACCCCACGCTGAGCATAGAGCCTGACTCGGGGCTCGATCTCACGACCCTGAGATCATGACCTAAGCTAAAATCAAGAGTCGGACGCTTAACAACTGAGTCACCCAGGCGCCCCTACCATTTTATTTTATTTTATTTTATTTTATTTTTTTAACAGTAGATCCTGGAAGGATAATATTATGCTAATTTTTTATCTGGCAAAGATTGTAAAAATAGTGGACAATTGGTTCTTGGTTCTTGGTCAATACATTTTACTTAATATGGAGTATAGATCTGAGAGTTGCTACGAGGCATCTACTACATAGCTGCACAACATTTTATTATCTTACAATTTGGATATGATTTGATGTAAGTGATATTAGCTTGTGGATCAGTCAGGGTTCTCCAAAGAACCAGAACCCAGAACCAATAAATAAGCTCTCTTTCTGTCTCTACATATCACATAATACATGTATAACATACATGTACATAATACATATACAATATGTGTATATGCAGAGAGAGACAGACGGATAGAAAGAGGGAGATTTAAGAAATTGGTTCATGTGATTGTAGGGACTAACAAGTCTATCTATAGGGCCAAGGCTGGTAGGGTGGAGATTCAGGTAAAGTTTGATGTGAAATTCAGGCAAGTATTGATAAGCAGTCTTGAGACTGAATTTGGCAGGGCAAATCACAGAGATTTGGCAAGCATGGAGTGGAAATCTGATCCCTATCTTTGGCACTATCTGTTCTCTTTTCCATTAGGTGTTGCCTTTTTCCTGTTGCCTTTCCCCACCTTTCCCTTTGAGGAGAACTTCTGAAGGGCAAAGTAAGCAGATTGATTCAAATTGTTGAATTTAAGTTTGAAGGGGACATTCTCTTGCCTTCAGTTCCTGTCTTATGTAACCCATTTGACCCTCCAGGGTTCTATTGGGACAACACTGAGGGGGTTTCTCACCAGGTCTGCCTACAGAAGGAACTAGAAACTTTGGAAGTGGAGGCATAATTTCTATATCGCAGTTGTTGAGGAGAATCACTTCTTTGGGAAACCTGCATTTTCTCTCATGCCTTCAACTGATTGGACGAGGCCCACCCACATTGCGTGTAGAGTAATTTGCTTTACTCAAAATGTACTAATGTAAATGTCAATCACATCTGAAAAAGACCATCACAGCAGCACCTAGACTGATGTTTGACCAAACAACTAGGTACCCCAGCCTAGCCAAGTTGACACATCAAGTTAACCATCACCTGTTGTATTTAATAATAACAAATTAATTCATAATAATGGAGTGTTGAGGCCCATGGATTTGACATACTAAATTTGTTCTCCCTGATCACCAGACTTTAATTCTCTTCCTACTCAGTCTCAAGTGAACACCAGCTCCTGCCTGGAATTGTTGGATTGCTTTTGTCCACACCTACTCTTCCTTTGCTTTAATCTACTGTCCACACAGCACCTTGCTCATCCCCCACCAAAGCTCTCTTACTGTTGCCTGTTGCTTTCAGGGTAAAGACCAATCTACTCTCCTTCTTCATCTCAGGTCCCCTGCACTTGCTCACTGTGCTCTGGCCACATTGGACTTCCTTTTGTTCCTTATATGCATGGAGCTCCTTCTGGACACTGAACACTCACAGGTGCTGGGACAGCCTCCTTACTGGCCATTGTACTCTGTTCCTGAAGATTCAGCTTACATGTCAATTATCCACTCCCTTGACTAATCAAAGTGATGTTTCCCTGTCTACCTTCTTTTTTTTTTAATTTTTTTTT